GTACGGGAGGAAAAGGCCTTGAGGCAGTGGTGAAATCTGAACCGGTTTGCTACCAGTTCGCTGGCCACACATGTGGATGCACAGTGGACACCAAAAGGAGACTTGGGAAGGTAAGTAAAACAGCGAGGGGAGGGGAATCAGCTGTGCCACACGGTTTTGCTTCGCTAGAAAGCAGAAATACTGCTTTCTAGCAAAGCTAAACTGTGCAACTGTTGGCATGCACTGTTACGGAGAGAGAACAGTATAAGTATTTTAAGAGACATTATTTAAGGCGAATATTGCTGGAAACCTGGGACATAATTAGAGGAAAATTTTATACCAAGATCCCAACTTGGTTCTCAGCAACAGAAGCGACGATATATCCAACAACTCTTAAACAGGATAATATTTATAGATATAAAGAGCTTGTGGATGCCCAAGGGATATTAAAATCTAGGGAAGATTTGGCTGATAAAGGAATTAGGCTAGATTGGTGGATCTATGCTATAGTTCAATCTCATTATAGGAAGGATAGAGATAATTACGGGATACATGTGATGGAACAGAGTTTTGATAAAATATTAATGGGAGAGGACCATAAATACATAACCAAAATATATGCACAGTTGCATGAGCGAATGATAGGAGAGGAGGTTGTAAAAGACACTATGATTGCCTGGGGGAGGAATTTTCGGTACTCGATTCCTTTAGAAAAATGGCAACAAATGTGGGGGGGAAATATTAAAATAACTACAGCAATGTCTTTCAAGGAAAATGCATATAAAATGTTGTATAGGTGGCACCTCCCACCAGCAAGAATTGCTAAAATGTTTCCGGGTGCATCAGAGTTATGTTGGAAATGTGGGAAAACCAGAGGTGCGTATTTCCATCAATGGTGGACTTGTATAATGGCAAGGAGGTATTGGAGAAGGATTAGGAATTGGATTAAGGAAATTACTAATGTGGACCTCCAATGGAAACCTAAGATATATTTACTAGGTATTCGCCCAGAGGAGCTGAGTAAGAAAAAATGGTATCTCACTCTACATTTTTTAGTTGCAGCTAGAATAGTGTTCGCCCAACAGTGGAAAGAAAAAGAGATACCGGCTAGTGCCCAAATTATAAATAAACTATTAGAGTGCACTGAAGCGGACAGAATGACGTATAGGTTGAAAGAAAAGGAGGATTCTGAATTCTTTCAAAGTTGGGACAATTGGTATCGGTGGTTGAATAAAAGGATTGAGATGAAGTGAGGGCCTAAGTCAATATGAGGAGAGATATACTTATCTAGATTGAAAGATAATTGTATGAAAACCGTACTTGGGGATTATTTACTTTATTCTGTGTTGTGGGCATAATTATTTATTAATGAGGGCAGGAATATTATCTGCCGGGATAGACGTGTCTGTATGTTTAGTGTTATGAATGGGGGAGGGAGGGAGAGGAATGTATGGTTTTTGTTTTTATGTATAATCAATGTTTTTGTCTTATGTTGATTTTAACTTGAAAAACTTAATAAAATTTATTTTTTAAAAAAAGAAATAGTCATACAGCCGAGAGATTTCCATCCTACCCTCCTTCCCCAATATAAGGTTCAGATGTCTTCAAAAGATAAAGAAGAGGACGCTATAAGGCCTGGTAGGGTTGGACTTCGACCTAAGGACTACAGGGGCCCTGTTTTAGGAAGGAGAGGCCTGGGGAGACTCTGTGAGGGACGGAGAGGCCTGGGGAGACCTAAGAGATGGGTTATGGGAGGCCTTTGGAAGGAAAGCCTAAGACTGCAATTAAGCAAAGCAGTCTTGTTTAACAGCTGCTGCAAGGTGCAATCCTAATTGGTAGGCCCCGTGACAGAATGGCCTAAGGCCTGCAGGGAGCCAGTGGGAGTGGGAAAAGGCCTCGGAGGTACTCTGTGCGGAGGCCTGGTGGGGGGGGGCTTCCCCTGAACCGGAGCAAACCGGTAGCATTTCAGTCTTGTTAAACAGCTGCTGCAAGGTGTAATCGTAATTGGAAGGCCCCGTGACAGAATGGCCTAAGGCCTGCAGGGAGCCAGTGGGAGTGGGAAAAGGCCTGGGAGGTACTTGGTGCGGAGGCCTGGGGGGGGCTCCCCCTGAACCGGAGCAAACCGGTAGCATTTCACCCCTGCCTTGGGGGAACCAAGTGTTAGAAACCAGAGCAATAGGTGTGTTGGAGGGTGGGGGTTGAGGCCTAGGGATGCCTTGGGGGAACCAAGGTTGGGAACCAGAGCAATAGGTGTCTTGGCGGGGGGTGTGGAGGAGGCCTAGGGATGCCTTGGGGAACCAAGTGTTGAGAACCAGAGCAATAGGTGTCTTGGGGGTGGGGGTGGAGGAGGCCTAGGGATGCCTTGGGGGAACCAAGGGTGGGAACCAGAGCAATAGGTGTCTTGAGGGGTGGGGGTGGAGGAGGCCTAGGGATGCCTGGGGGAAACCAAGTGTTGGGAACTAGAGCAATAGGTATCTTGGGAGGTGGGGATGGAGGAGGCCTAGGGTTGTCTGGGGGGAAACGGGCAAGCCTGGGCCTGGGCTAAGCCTCGGAGACTTTTCCTGAACACTGAGGTAGCCAGTGTCCTATTTATAAGGTGACCAGACATCCCGCTTTTGGCAGGACAGTCCCGATTTTTAGCAATTTGTCCCGCGTTCCGCGGCGTTTTAAAAAAGTCCCGATTTTTCATTCTGCCTCCTGAGTCCCAGCTGCCTCCTGAGTCCCAGCTGATGGCTAGAGGGAAAAAAACTGTTTAAACTATTGCCGCGGGGCTTCAAAGGACCGCCCTACAGCTGATCAGTGTTAAAAGAAAACAAATGAGTAGACCAATGCCTGCAAAAATAGAAAAAACAGCCCCTTACAGCTTCCGCATAAGTTAATTAGCACAAGTTGATTAGCTCGGCTTCCCCACTCTCAGCTGATTTGCTCTCAGCTGTTTTGCACAGGGCTCTTCTGCTTGCTAAATTGCTCGAGCAGATTTTTTTTTTTCTTGTGCAAACCAAGCTCAAAACGAAACTGAAAGTAAAACAGGCTGTTGGCTTTGCTGTTTGCTCGAACGTTGGAAAATTAGGCAGCAGATTTCTTTTCTTTTTCCTCACCAAAAAAGGTAGGTGCAAACAATGGGAAATTTAGGGCAAAAGAGGAGAATTCAAGATTTTAAAACACAAAAGAAAAAAAGCTCTATTTAACTAGGGAATTGTAATAATTGAGATACTATTAATTGTATATTGTGTTGAAAGCAGAAATTGTTAAGTTGTGGTTTGGAGGAATATATGGGGGAAATTATTTGATTTATTATTATTGGTAAATATAATTAATTGATTTGTAAGAAATTGGATTGCATGGAAATAATTGGAATATTCATGTTCGTATTGATTAATATACAAAAAAGATAGTTATATCACTAATTGATTTATATTAAAATGTTGAATTTGTATTAAACAACTGTATTACATAATTACATAATTAACCAATGTGAGGATGGATATAAAAATAGATGACAATGGGAAGGGGTATAATATAGAATAGAAGGGAAAAATGAATTTGATTAAGATTAGAGATGAGGATGAAGGGTAATATTGTTTTTTTAAAAAAATAGATGAGGAATAAATATGGCAAAAAGGAAATATAGAAATTGTAAATTTAATTGAAATGACTAAACACTGTTTAAATTTGTGAACCGGCCAAATACTCTGTTCAAAGAAAATACATTGTATGTTTGTATGTGTGTTTCTAATTATTGCTATTTATTGCTATTTGTTCTCTTTTATTCTTTAAAGTTTAACAATTCATTCTTTATCTTAATATCTTTATATTTGTTTGGGGTTGGCTTTCTTCCCTTTCATCTTTTTTATTGTACAGCAATCTTTCTCCTCAAACCTACCACCTCTCTCTTTTCTTTCCTTCTTACTTTCTCTTCCCCCCACCCTCTTTTTCTCCTCCCTACTTCCTCTTCCTTTCTCCTCCTCCTCCTCTCTTCCTCCCTCTCTTACCCTCACTCCTACTCTAATTTCCCTTCCCTTCCTTCATCCTTCTCTATTGCTGTATCCTTTTGTGCATATGGACTACTCAGAGGGCTGAAAAAGTTATTTTTGACTGGTCCTCGCACTTTTGACCAGTCCTTGAACTTACGACTGTCCTCACATTTTACGTTTTTTGCCCTATCTTATCACCATGGTGAAGAGAAGCAGTTGTGAAATGAGTGTCATGGTTGTTAAGAATGCTGCACGGCATAAATGTGAGGATGGTCATAAGTGTGAGGACCAGTCAAAAGTGCGAGAACCTGTCAGAAATGACTTTTTTCAGCCCTCTGAGTAGTCCCTATACACATAGCCATGGCCACCCGGTCACATGACCTCCAAGCCACGCCCACAAAATAAGCCACACCCACAATGGTGTCCCTCTTTACCAATGTTAAAATCTGGTCACCTTACCTATTTAGCAACTTGCACATTCATTTAATAGCTGCATAACAGACAGCATGGGTTGGGGTTAGTTAACCAAAGTACTGTCGCCATTGCTAAATGAATCCATAATAGTTAGTTCTCATTACAGTTGTATCTCGAGGATTACTTGTATGCTGGCTGGGAAATTGTGAGGTTCAAAATCTGGAGTTCACCAAGATAGAAGGCTGAAACTCCACATGTCAGAATTTCATAATCAAAATACAAAAAAAAACACCACCCAAAGGCCTGTTTGCAGAAATTCCACAACTTCTGCAAATGCAAAGTTCCAGAAAGTACTGCTGATAATCAGAAACAGGTTAGCCTTTATCAAACGAGCCTGTAGTACAGTGGACTAAGTACTGTTATTAACAACTGCTGCTTGCAATTACTGCAACAAGCTGACTTTGTATAAATATACAAAAGTATGAAGGCTATTGCTTAACGCGTTGTAAGCCGCCCTGAGTCTCCGGAGAAGGGCGGCATATAAATTAAAGCAAAAAAAAAAAAACTAATATTTTCCCTTTTTCTCTCTCCACCTCAGGTCTAATCTTTTTTTGATTAAAAAGAATCAGGCCAGAATTTAAATAATCAATTTCTCATCTATACTCCAAATGGGAGATCAGAAATGAATTTCAAGCTTTCTCTAAACTGTTCAATATTTGCCTCATGTGCATTTTCTTGTGAGCAATCAGAGATGATTTACGCCTAAAGCATTGTTCACAAGGTGGACATTGGAAAGGTTTCTCTCCTGTGTGAGTCCTCTGGTGGCCAATGAGGTGGGAACTCTGACTGAAACTTTTCCCACATTCAGGACATTCAAAGGGTTTCTCTCCGGTGTGAGTCCTCTGGTGGCCAATGAGGTGGGAACACTGACTGAAACTTTTCCCACATTCAGGACATTCAAAGGGTTTCTCTCTGGTGTGAGTCCTCTGGTGGTTCACCAGGCGGGAATTCTGACTGAAACTTTTCCCACACTCAGGACATTTGAAGGGTTTCTTTCCTGTGTGACTCCTCTGGTGGTTCACCAGGTGGGAATTTGCAATGAAACTTTTCCCACAATCTGGACACTTGTATGGCTTCTCCCTGGTGTGAATCCGCTGATGTAGCACAAAGTTGCCATGCTTGCAAAAGCATTTACCACATTGGAAGCAGTTGTAAGTCATCTGTCCTATGTGGATCCTTCTATCTATCTATCTATCTATCTATCTATCTATCTATCTATCTATCTATCTATCTATCAATAATTTTATTTCTATACCGCCCTTCTCCCGAAGGACTCAGGGCGGTGTACAGCCTATTAAAAAACACAAAGACAAACATCAGTTAAAAATAATTAAAATTATTACATAAATCGTAGTCGTTTATGCTGGCTGAGGCAAAAGGATTGCCATGGAAACAAAAGAGATTGGATTTCTTCTTCTTCATTGTGCCACGTGGCCCACCGAAGGAATGGCCTTCTCTACTCTGACTTCCTGAGCTCAACAAAATGTAAGTAAGCAAATGGTGATGGGGTGGAGTGGGAAACCAAGGGGCAGGAGGCAGGGCATGGGGTATCCTAGACTCAAAGAGAAGGGTTAAGGGGGACATGATAGCTCCTCTTCAATTATAAAATAATCTTTATTAAATATTTACAATAAAACTAACACACAATAATGGTTGAAAAGCAATATAGGAAGCGAAATATAGAAACACATAAACACAAGACTAAAACCAAACAACAAACATGACTAACCGAGAGTTAAGCTCACTCTCCAATTAATATTAACTAATATCATCCTAGCCAAACATTTCAATGCAATAAAGTTCTTTTTACTAACTACAAAACAATTGGTCTGTTTTTATCAAAATTATAAAGAGTTATAAAGCCTAGTTAATATCTAGTTAATCTAATTAGACGATCTTATCACCCTTCTCCTAAGTTTAACCTTCTTTTGAGCCAAACAAAACTTCTGTCCCAACTTCTATTATATACCAAATCTTTCTTGTCTTTTAAGATATACGTTAGCCTGTCTATTTCAGCACATCGAAGAATCTTGTTTATTATCAGATGGTCAGGGGGTGTGTCTGCATCTTTCCACAGTTGAGCAAATGCCATTCTCGTCGCTGTTGAGACATGGACAAATATATACCAATCCTTCTTATCGATGTAGTCCGGTCTTATTCCGAGTAAATAGAGGTCTGGGTGAAGAGGGAAGCTCACACCTGTTATTTCCAACAGCCACTGCTGTATTTTCCCCCAATAGCGTCTAGCTGACGGACAAATCCACCACTGATGGAAGGAAGTACTCTTGGCCGATCCACATTTCCAACATCTATCAGAAGATCCTGGGAACATCTTAGCGATTCTGGCGGGGGGGAGATACCAACGGTAGATCATTTTATAAAAGTTTTCTTTGAACAGGGAAGAAAGGGTCAGTTTCATAGTTTTGTTCCCTACATTTTGCCATGCATCAAGCTGAATTGTCCTTCCATTATTTCTCCCCCGGGCAATCATCGTGTCCTTTACAATCTCATCCGCCATAAAATTGGACAGAAGAAGATTGTAAACGTTGGAAATAAATTTCCTTCGGCCACCTAGGGGAAGCTTGTCAAACGTTTGTAAATGAAGGGAAATACCATGTTCCTGTTTATCCCTAGCGAATCGTTTGAATTTTCACATAGGACCACCAGTCTATGTCTAATCCTCTAGTTTGAAGATCGGCTCTAAGTCTAAATCTCCCGACTTCATCCAATAAGTCACCATAAGCCCAGTTCCTCTTTATATTGTGCACAATCGGAAGGGTCACTGCCTCTAACGGAGACACCCACTTAGGAATCTGTGTGTAAACTTGCTTCTTCACCGTTTCCCAAACCCTTAATAAAATTCCTCTAATATAATGATTAGTAAAATGTTTGGATTGTTTGTCTTTCTGAGACCACAAGAAGGAATGCCATCCCGGCTGCAAATCATATCCTTCAATTGCCAAAATGCGCTTTCTTGAGAGGATCACCCAATCTTTTATCAAAACCAGGGATGAAGCTTGGTAATAAAGCTCCCACATAGGGAGCCCCAAGCCACCCCTTGTTTTGTGCTCTTGCAGCATTTTTCTTTTTATACGGGGTTTTTTACTCTGCCAAATAAATTTGCTTAGAATTTGATCTAATTTCCCTAAAAAGTTTTTATCCAATCTTGCAGGAGCCATTTGGAATAAAAAGATCCATTTCGGTAAAACATGGGCTTTTATCGCGGCAATTCTACCCAAAAATGAGATCTGAATATGCCGCCATCTTTCCATTTCATTAGCTGTATCTATTAATAATTTGGAATAATTGAGCTCTTTGATAAAAGAACATCTATTTGTAAGCCAAATACCTAAGTATTTAAGTTTTTTGACACAATTAATCCCCATAATAAGTAAGCAAATGGTGATGGGGTGGAGTATGTAGGAGGCCTATAGGGCTTTGCGGAAACCAAGGGGCAGGAGGCAGAGCATGGGGTATCCTAGACTCAAAAAGAAGGGTTAAGGGAGACATGATAGCTCCTCTTCCAATACACTTGAGGATCTGTCACAAAGAAGAGAGGATTGACTTGTTCCCTAGGGCACCAGAGGGTAGGACAAGAAGTAATGGGTGGAAGCTTGTTGTTAGGATATGGTTTGAGCCTAACATGTTGTCCAGGAACTTGGCTATTTTCTTTGCATCTTCTTCATCAGTAGGATTCCATGCTGTTACATCCGGTGGATTATTAACTACTTCCCACAGTCCTTCTCTACGCAAAAGTAGATTACATTTTGTAGACCAGGATACATAGTTTGTTCCATCCAGCCGGGTTATCATGGAAAAATTTGCTGCTTGTTCTAATGCCATCTTCACTTGGATTGTTTATCACAAACACAGTTTGTTCTATTCACATTAACTCTCAGTTTAGCTGTTAGCAATCCTTGTTAGTTATGGTTGGCTCTGGGCCCATAACCAATGTTGAGGTTATTGTTGTTGTGTTACCAACCAGCAGAGTAGGTGCACAGAGAAACATTGCTGAGAGCAATGAATAAGAGATAAGCAAACTGGTTTATCAAAAGCTTACTTTATAGTAGAAAAACATTCTCAAAGTCTTTAAACAAATTCCAAGTCTTTGCCATTTAAATCAGTCCGAAGTTACAGATATCTTCTTACCAAACAAACAGTAGCTGGTTAGAATAACAAACTCACTCTGGTTCACAAACCACGATGGTAACAGATCCATCCAACGATGATTAGCAGATAGCAACTCCTCTCAATGGTAGCATATCACATCAGCTTCATCAAACTGAATACGTTACAATACCTTGCTTAAATACTCTCACAACCAGTCATTACCTAATTACAGCATGACTCAGCATTACAATGAACCAGCAGGAAAACTGTTAAAGTAACATAATACAGATTCACATTAAAGTTACAGTACACATATTGCCTGGACAACATGTTAGGCTCAAACCATATCCTAACACTTGTCAAAGAGAGATCCACCCTAGAAGTAAGGAGAAATTTTCTGATGGTGAGAAGAATTAATCAATGGAATATCTTGCCTCTTGAGAGTTGTGGGTGTTCCATCCCTGGAGATTTTCAAAAATAGATTGGACAACCATTTGACAGATGGCATAAGGTCTCCTGCCTCGGGCAGGGAGTTAGACTAGAAGACCTTCAAGGTCCCCTCCAGCCCTATGATTCTATATTCTTAGCAATGTAAAGATGTGGAGATTTCAACAGTCAGCATTATTTACACTGATCAAGCATTTTTTGATTTCCTCTTCTGCAAAGCTTACATGGCTGGGATCACTGCATGCGACATTAAGCTATGATTAAACCATCTTAAGACTGGTATACCTAACTTAAAACAAACTAGGGTTTGTTAAGATGTCAAAAATATTCGTTACAGCTAAAGTATCAAGCGGAGAAACATCCCTAGAAAATAGGCAAGTATAGTGAAATAGGAGTGGAGTTTTAAGAAGGTATCTTTTGGCTAGCATCAGGTTTTCCTTTGTAATCAGCAAACCAGCTGTTTCATTATTTTCCCCCAAATCAACATGTTGGGATAGACCTTCTGTGAACATGGGAGGTTCTTAATACAGGTAATCCTTGATTTACAACCACAATTGAGTCCAACATTTCCACTGCTAAGCAAGGCAATTGTTAAGTGAATTTTACCCCATTTTCTAACCTTTCTTGCTACAGTTGTTAATCTGGCTTTCCCACTAACTTTGCTTGTCAGAAGCTTGCAAAAGGCTGATCGCATGACACTGCAACTGTCATAAATACGAGCCAGTGGCCAAGGATCTGAATTTTGGTCACGTGACCACTGAGATGCTGCAACAGCTGCAAGTGTTAAAAATGGTTATTACTCACTTTTTTCAGTGTTGCTGAAACTTCAAATGGTCACTAAAAAAATGGTTGTAAATCAAGGAATACCTGTATGCCAAAGTAGCTTGTTTACTAACAAGAACATATTGAGCCATAGAAATGGGAAAAATGAAGCTCTTTCAACATGAAACTGGGGATGAGATTAAGTCCTGTCCCCAAACAGCTACTGGGCATGTTTTTTTATTTATTTATATTTTATTTTGAATTTGTATACCGCCCTTCTCCCTAAGGACTCAGGCCGGTGTACAGCCACGTAAAAACATAGACTACAAATATTAAAATACAATTAAAAAAAATATATATATATATATAAATTTGGCCCCATAATTAAAAGCATTAACAAACTAATTAAAACATTTAAACATGTTGGTACAGTGGTTAGAGGAATGCAGTCAAGAGCCTGAAGCCATGGCCTTGCGTTATCTAGTAGCAAGAAACAGTATACAGTCGGGGCATAGAAGGCCAATGCAAAAGGGATTTTCCCCTTCTTACAAACTATCCAGATAATCCTTGGTTTTTTAAGAGCTTCAGGAAAGATTTATTAAAAATAGTGGCGGAAAATTGGAGCCGAACAATCGAAGGAAGTGCTTTCAGATGCAGCAAAGGTCATTTTCTTCTATTTTAAGAGAAGATAATAACTGCAACAACCAAGAAAAAATGGAGCTTCCAGACTCAGGAACTGCATACAGGTAGTCCTTGACTTACAACAATTCATTTAGTGACCGAAGTTACAACTGCACTGAAAAAAGTGACTTACCACTTTAAGTGGTAAGTGTAAGTTTTT